TTAATTTTTTATGAATATGGACAATATTTTCTGAAAGCAAAAAATTTTTTCAATGAAAATTGAATTTTTAATACAATTATTTCTTATTTCTTTAATTTTAAAAAGATTTTAAAAAAACGTTTAAATTGAATTTTAAAAAATATTTTAACATTAGTTAAAAGCAACATCAACCTTTCAAAATGTCCGTGTGAGATTGTCATTGTCTAGCGCTTTGAAAATTGTATAATTTGGACCAATCAGATTAGCCATGGTAATTAAGAAATGTAATTTTTGTGTTTATAGTCGGACAGTAATTATCAAGTACGGAAGACCAACCAGAATACAATTTAGTTGCATTATTTGAGTTCAGCATTGTTCTCCGCTGTTAAGCCCTTTACTTTTGCAAAACACGTATGGAGAAGTTAATTTGAGTTTTCAATTTCAACTGAGAAGGGTACCTACAAGTAACAGTATCATCTTATGAAATTTAACTACTGCTAAAACTTTAATTTATATGATCTTATTTTTTATATTAATCTCAGTTATGACATTTTTCCATAAATGAAATATCAAAATTAATAATAATAAAATGAATGGAAATACAAATAACACAGTAAAATGTAATAAATGTACATAAAATTATAGTATTTTACGTACACTTCTGATAAAATTTCATAAGAAAGGTACCTAAATTAATTAGATACCTTTTTTTCTTATGAAATTTAATCTCACTATTAACAGTCTTATTTTTTAATTTCTTTATATTTTCCATAAAGCATCGTAAACGTAAAAATGAAAGCTAAGTACAAAAAAAAAAAAAAAAAAAAAAAAATTAGAGCGCTGAAAGTTTTCCTTAAAAGTAACAAGGTAAATAATTTGTTCACTTAAATAATTTCACTTCTTTCCATCCGTAGAAAGAATTCTCATCCCGTAAGTTATCTAAACGTCATGAATGTGCCTTTCGTCAAGTGACGCGAAAGGTTATGACCTGATTTGTTTTATTTTCAAATTACATTTTTTTGGCGCAGATAGCTAAGTTAAGCTTGGTTCAAAATATTTTAAATAAACATAGGTACCTCCACGAAATCGCTAAAAAAAGAGCATAGCTTGATGAAAAAGACGCCAAACTTGCCGAAAACTAAATTTTATTGTCTAAATGCTTATGTTATTATTAAGAGGAAAGAGCAAAGTTTTTTTTTTTTTAATTAAAAAATTTTCCTTTTTAGAACATTCTAAATTTTGATTAAAAAAAACCTTTTTTCTATTTGTATCAGCGGAACTAGTAAATAACATAGACAATTTTTAGCACGTTTTTTTTGGTATGACGCACATTAATTTGAAAAATTGTGCAAAAATAGAAATAATTATCGGATGTTAATGAAACTTTCAGAAACTATTCACAGATGATCGAAATTATTATAAATATGTTTTTTTTATGAAAGTCATGGTAGAAATATTTTTTTTAAATATTTATTACCCCCATAACTAATTTTATGAAAACGCTAGAAATTGATCGCATCGGTTTTAGTGATTATAATAATTAAAAAGCACAGGGCTTTGAGGAATGCAAATCATGTTTTTTTTGTTTTTTAATTGGATACACAGTACCTGAAAATCAGCTGTGAATTGTAACATACAAAACTCAATAAAACAAAGATATTATTTAATTTCAAATGCTTTTATTTGCTTTTAGTTGTTTTTATGAATATGGACAATATTTTCTGAAAGCAAAAAAATTTTTCGATGAAAAATGAATTTTTAATACAATTATTTGTTATTTCATTAATTATGATAGATTTTACATTTAAGTTGTTAAAATATTATAAAATTAGTTAAAAGTCGATCGGCTTTCATAAGTGTCCTTATGAGATAGATCTTTTTTTTAGCGCGTTGTAAATTGTATCATTTTGACTAATCAGAAGATACCCAGTAATTAAGAAATGTAATTTTTGTGCTTATAATCGAGCTGTAATTATAAAATACGGAAGACCAACCAGAATATAATTAAGTTGCGTTATTTGAGTTAAGCATTGTTCTCCGCTGTTAAGGCCTTTACTTTTATGCGAAACACGTGTGGAGAAGTTAATTTGATTTTTCAATTTCAACTGAGAAGGTTACCTACAAGTATCAGTATCATCTTATGAAATTTATATGATCTTATTTTTATATTAATCTCAGTTACGACATTTTTCCATAAATGAAATATCAAAATTAATAATAAAATGAATACAAATAACAGTAGAATGTAATAAATGTACATAAAATTATAGTATTTTATGTACAATTCTGATAAAATTTCATAAGAAAGGTACCTATAAATTAATTAGATACCTTTCTTAAGAAATATGAAATTTAATGTCACTCTTAACAGTTTTATTTTAATTTCTTTACAATATATTTCCCATTAAGCATCATAAACGTAAAGATGAAAGCTAAGTACAAAAAAAAAAAAAATTAGACCGCTGAAAGTTTTCGTTAAAAAATAACGGGTAAATAATTTGTTCACGTAAATGTAAACTATTTCACTTTTCTCCTTCCGTAGAACATGGAATTCGTAAATATATCATTCATCACATGTCAAGAGACGCGAAAGTTTATGACCTGCTTTGTTTTATTTTCAAATTACATCTTTTTGGCACAAAAGCTAAGCTAAGTTAAGTTTGGTTCAAAATATTTTAAATAAACATTATAATTTCTGATTTTCTTAAAATAAGTTTTGAAAAAATAATTGATATTTAAAAAAATTTCAAAGTCAGATTTCCAGTTTTTTTTTTTTAAATGGAAAAAAATGGTCAATTTTGCTGACTCAAAAAAAAACTAGATTTTTAACGAAAATTTCGGACGTGCTAGGAACGATTAAAAAATGGAAAAAAATACCCCCAAAATACTTTGACCTTTCCTCTTAATAATAACAAACATTTAGACGATAAAATTTTGTTTTTGTCAAGTTTGGCGTCTTTTTCATCATGCTATGCTCTTTTTTTTAGCCATCTCGTGGAGGTACCTAAATAAACAGTATAATTTCTGTTTTTATTAAAATCAGTTTTGAAAAAATGATAATTGATTTTTAAAAGAATATCAAAGTAAGATTTTAATCTTTTTTATCAAATCAAAAAATGATTGAAAATTTACAATGATTCTGTCTTTTTTTTTTTTTTTTTTGACCAAAAAAAAATAATATTTTAACGAAAATTTCAGACGTGCTAGGAACGATTAAAAATGTAAAAAAAATTACCCCAAAATACTTTGATCTTTCCTCTTTAATAATAATATGAACATTAGACGATAAAATTTTTTTTTTGTCAAGTTTGGCGTCTTTTTTCATCATGCTATGCTCTTTTGTTTACATTTTCGTGGGTGAATTGTCCCCTTTCATTCTCACGATGTGTCTTAATTGTGTTTTCAAAATGATTTTATTAAAAAACAACTGTTTTTCCCATTTTCGGCCCGTTAGAACCACCACAAGGTAATTTTATGTAGTCCTGTGAAGTTTTGTTGAAATCGCTAAAAAATGTAGGAAATTCGATCCAACATATAAACGTTAGAGACACACACACACACACACACACACAAACCTGCGTTTTATAATAAGTAAGATAAGATTATTCCTACTCCATAGGAGGCAATAGATGTTAAATGTAAAGGGGCTGAAATCCTAATGTACATGCAGATTTTGATAATAGCAAATGGAATAAATACTATATATATATATATATATATATATATATATATATATATATATATATAAGCGCATGTGTATATTTAGGCAGCATGTTTTCATTGAAGAAGGTTTGGTTAAATAATTTAGACATATCATGTCAGTTAGTTCTCATTGTGATCCATTCAAGTTTGCAGATTAATTTTTTGATAGATTTACTACGACGATGCTAACAAAAAGACTTAAATTTCATTTGGCTGAACATAGCTCGATACATCAGCACTTAAAGGACCACTCATGCCCACATTCATAGATGTATTTTCAACTAATATCTGTCTAATCTCTATTACATAAAAACAATAAAAATCCAAAACTAAAAATCCTTGAAGCCCTTTATATAAGAGAGTTAAAGACCAAAGTAAATAAACAAAGTCCTTAAATGCTTATGAAAAAAAAAATAATATACGTATGAGCAAAAACGAAAAAGTTACTCCCCTTACATTGAAAAAGAACACATGAATTTTGAACTTTGAAATCTAGAACACTGCATAAGCAGTAAAAAAAAAAAAAAAAAAAAAATGAACAGTTGAAATGTTTTAAATTCATAGAAACACATATGCATACTCACAGACAACTTAACCCCCTTGAAGATGAAAGATAAGATTGAAAGTACTTGGGAAAATAAAAACTATTTGAAAGAAAATTTTGGTATTACTAAATCTTCGAAAAAAAAAGTCATCTGTGAACTTGAAAGGATCACAACGAAAACTAATTGACATATGTTTAAATTATTTAACCAAACCTGTTTGAATGAAATATATATAATTTATTTTCTTCTCACCTTGTTATTGATAGCAGCTGAGTGTCAGCTTGGCAAAAGTGTGTATGAAATAGTGGAGTGTCATTGAATTCCTCTCTGTGAAAAAATGCACTGGTTAACATTCAAAATTTGATGTGTATTTATGAAAACCTTATGGTGGTTGCTGTGATGTTTTGTATCTGAAAACTTGCTCTATCCAATTGTGTTATGGTGCTCCCTGCATATGTAGTAATTTCCATGGGAGTCATTACTTTTGGAGCATCTCTTGTACATTGATTCTTTAATTTGTATAGTTTTTTTTAAATTTGTATATCATCCTTTGCTTATCAATTCTTTCATTTAAAACACTGTGCGACTTTATGTAATTCAGTCAATTTCTTCTTTACAAATCAAATATTCTGCTTATGGTAACAAAAGGCATTACACTATGCCAATAAGAAAACATTCTTATTAGCACAATAGAATATCTCATTAGTAAGTAGTAGGATACATTGATTTTTATTTTTTGATTCATGTTGGTTTTCTCTGCTTATTTTGGGGGCTTACAACCATATCACATTGAAACACTGGTTCCCGTACAGTCACTGAAGTTAAGCAACACTGAGCCTGGTCAGTACCTAGATGAGTGATCACTTAGGAATATCAGATGCTGTAAGCTTGAATGTGCAGGTGGTGTAATGGATAATGGCTCAATTTGAAAAATTGAAGAACAGAGTTCCAATTCCAGTTAGGTTCATTCTATTCATCTACATGCAAGTGCCCTTGAGAATGGTATGAATCCACCTTCTCCCTCTGGCTATGGGTTAATTAGTAATTTGTATCAGTAAATCATTACCTCCAAAAGTTTCTTACTATATAGAAATATTTACTTGCTTTAAATAACCTGTAAAGAGTTGATAATCCATAAAAACAAATCGATAAACAATAAGTCTTTTTTTTTTTTTTTTCTGTAATGATTTTAAAAATCAATTCTTTACACAACTTTATGCAACTTTATTGTGAAGTGTAGATAAAACTCCTAGCAAAATATATAACCAATGTAATTGCAAAATATGGCTGTCAGTTTATGGTTAAACCAGTTTAACTTGTTAAGATTTTTTTTATATAACGAATTACTGCCTGTGGAATCATTTTTTGTTTGCTTATATTTTTGACCAACCTTGTTACAACCAAATGTTGCTGTTCAGGTTGGAAAATGTCAGATTACATTCATACTGAATTGGTTTACATTTAATTTATTCACTCTTGAAAATGGCATTGTCCCTTTTTAAGAAAAAAAAACATGTTTTTTCATTGTTTGACTATAAAATAAAGGCAAACCTTTTATGTTTTTTACTCTGGTTACTCTGGTTAGCTTGGTCTGATGTTGTCAATAATAGTGCTTTTATTATTATTATTATTGATTAAACACAGACTGTTGATGTAGTTATACTCGAGTGTAGGTCATTGTCCCTGGTGGAGGGAAGTATATAACCCCAGAAAATAACCCAAGAAAAGTTAATAGTCAATATATTAAAAGCAGATGTTATTTTCTCATTTCAAAACACAAGAAGTACAGCCACAGAAAATTGACACTTTCTTCCAGTTGTCAAATTGACAACTTCATTTGGTTGAGTCCGGAGGAATTTTTTTGTGCTCAGGATTTAATTTGTACTACCTTTGTCTTATAATAGTTGCTACATTTGCATACATATTTCATACACTAAATAAAATGACTATTATAGGAAAGTCATAGTACTCTTGTTGGATGAAATAATACAAGTAAATTGTATTAAAAAAAAAAAAAAAGTTTGTAATGGTTATAGTGACAAATGAAAAATATTTGAGCTTTTGTTGTAAAACTTTACACATCTTTATTTTTTTAAATGTTTATTTTTTTGTATAGTATATCAGTTTATATTTGAATAATAACTTGAAAGACTTATCTCACTTAAGAGTTTCACAGACACCACTTGTCAGAGTAAGAAAATGTATTGAATTCATTAAGATGTATAATATTTGAATTAAATATACTACATAAAGACACTAATCACTGACTCTAAATAAATTTCAATAACTTTTAATGAATTCTGTAGATTTATCGTACCCAGACGAGCAGTTACTGCTGAAATTGCTAATTGTAACTAAGTTCTATGCTAATAGTTTCTTCTCTCTTACATCTTGCTTGTGGAATTCTCTTTTGGTGTCATATTTTGTTGTCAACTATGATCTTCAAAAATTTAAATGCAATTTTAATTGCCATCTATCACCTTGTTCTTTTTTGTCCTCTCTGTTTATTTCACTCGCAGTAACCCCTTGCATCATAGAGGATTTTATTGCTTTGATTGGGGGTGTGAAATATATATATATATATATATATATATCCCGGAAAGGGATATATTTGTTTGAAGTTGCAGAGTGGTTGTTGACTACTGTAACTGGGTAGGACAATCTAGCAAGTAACCATAATGGACTGGTCTTCATCGTAGTGGTAGGCAATAATTGTCGTCAATAGGCATCCTCCTGTACCTCTACATCAGTCTGTATTTATGGCTGACACCAGCCAATCATATTACTGTAAGGGGAACCCAGGTGTATGCATATTCATTACATCAAAATATATATATATATATATATATATATATATATATATATATATTAAAGATTTTATTTAGATGTTCAGTGCACAAAAGTCTGATATACAACTTCATTTTTGCTTAAATGTTTCTTTATTGGTCAAATTAGAGTTGTGACAAGTTTAAAATGAATTGAATGATTTATTATGTACATGTGAAAGACCAGGGAACACAGCAGATACAATATCATCATCAAACAGCTTTTTCTCCCAAAACTGCCACTCCTGTGTGGATGCTTCCCTGAACATTTTCAGTCTTAATCTCCTCAATTCATTTATCTTTCCTCCCTCTCCTCATCATCTTCACTTATCATCTCCTCTTTTATGCATGGTTGCCATTTTAACAGTAATTCTTTTACTTGAGTGGCTTTCAATTCTTGTGTTGGGTACAATTTAGTATATATTTAAAAAGATGAAAAAAAAAAAAAAAGGGAGTGGTTATGCAGATAACTTCTTACAGGGGACCAAGCAGGAGGAAGCAATAATAATGATGGTAATATATTGAATGTGTACTTTTTTCTCTTGTAATCCATTGGGAGGGAAACACATGTAGCAATTCTTGACACAGTAATTGGTCTATTTTCATGTTTTGGAGTTTAATGTCTACTCTATTAGGAGCAGGGTTCACATGATACTGAAGAGCTTTACACATATCCCTGATTCCTTTGTCGAACAGTCTTGGAGAGTCACCTATATAACAATTCTTCCTACATGAACACAATTTTTGTTGAACTAAATAAAATATTTCAGTTATTTCATTTTTCTCTTTTTGCTTTATTGTTTGGGAATTTTTTTTTTTTTTTTTTTTTTTTTTAAAATAAAGAGTGAAAATTTACTTCGACAAATCTTGTTCAGAAATATTTGAACTTTCACCTGTATATAACTATTTTTTCAAATCCGTGATTAAAAATGGCTTCACATGAATGAATCCTTTAAGTCTTAAAGATGACAATCCTTCATCAGATCATATAGATTGGCACTGCAAACTCAGAAAGCACTCTAATGCTCACACCAGTAGATGAAATAAACACTGTTTAAAATAAACAAAAAACCCCCAAAAAACTAGTGTTCTACTCAAATTTGGGTGTCCACTAGAAATAACATTTGAAGTATGTAGGGTAAGGACATGAAAATTTAAATTTTCTGTTAATTTACCCCAAAATAAAAAGAAGTAATATTTACCAAAATTCACATCAAATTCTTCCAGAGTGAGGCCTTTACATTGCACTCTAATTGGGTTGACCTTTTCGATCGCAACACATATGGGCGACTCTGGTGCACCATTTCTAAGTGTGGATTCTTCAGTTGAAATCACTCTGATAAAAAAGCCAAAAACATTTTTTCTTTTTTTTTTTTCTTTTTTTTTAAATTGCAAAAAATTTCTTGTCAGTACCTCAAATATAATCTGCACTTAGGAAATGTAAATAACTCTCATTTTTGGTAATTTTTCATTCTGAGGGTTGGAGTTGTTGTAAGGCAAGCTAGACAAATTTTGATTTAAAATTTATTTCAAGAATGCAAAATTTACTAAAAAAAACAAACTTAGATTTAAAATTTTTAATTTTTTGTGTTGGATTAATATTTGTGATAAGCAACTTTAAATTATTTGAGGGGAATTAACAGAAAAATTCCATAAAATATTATAGTTCCATATCAAAAGGAATGATGAAGATGCAGGTATGCTAAACTTTTTTTTTTTTTTAAAGTTTTGGCATCCTATATATCAAAATGTACAGCTTAACTGACTTCATTCAACTTTCTAGTGCATTTTGTTTTTATTGCTGCTGTTTTTAAATATCTCACTTTGTAATAGTTGTAGATTTGTTAAGGCAAAATGTGGTACGAACCGGAATGCAAATGGAAAATTCAGAAATTAGTGTACTTTCTATATACTTTTGCCTTTAAGCTGGATAGTGGATATGGTTTATATTTTTGTTGCCGAGTAGGACTCGGCATACTTTCTGCTCTTCCCTACTACTGTGATAATGGACTGCTCCTACTTATAAATTTGGCAAGTTGCCACATTAGAGTAGGATTTGAGGAGTAATTGATTTACTCAAGTTTTTCCATTCTATGTATGAGTATTTAATAAACCTCTTCATTTTCCCGATCTAGTCTTTTGTTCCTTTGATACTCTAACTGCAGCCTTCTTAATTCTCAGCTATTTTGAACAAAGACCATATTACAACAGTTTCAAATATTAGAGTATGTCTACAGTTTTCCATTTTAGATTCTCTTCTTTTTTTATCTTTTTTTTTTTTTTTTTTTTTTTTTTAATTTAAGCATTTCCCCCCAAGCAAGGCGGGAAGCCATTAGGACAAGGGGTTACAGAAGATTTGGAGCAAGATCAGATAGGAGTGGTAGAGGAAAGGATGAGGAGAAGGACGGTGGATAGATCAAGGCAACTGGAGATGTCGATCCTCCGCCCCTACCAACAGTGGGCTTGGGAGACATGCTTTCAATAAAATTAAGAACAACAGGAGAAAGAAACTGTGAAAACAATTCCATGTTTGGACATTTTATCTAGCAAGAAAATTCGGCCAACTAGATCATAAGAATACTGACAAGACACTTTCACATCTAGCCAAAGACATTCAATTTTCCTTTTAAATAGATTTTTAAATACCAGTTACTTATTTATCCAAAAATGACTTTTTTCTTTTCTGAGCACGAAGATAAAGGCAAATGTTTAAATCCTGACTGATATTTGTTTCCTTAAGTTTGTGTTGAACCAATTTACATTGCTTCTGGATTTTTACTAATGCTTATAAATGCTGTACTATAATTGATTGATTACACAAGCAGTCAAGAGTTGAGTAAACGTGAAAGACACTTCTAAGATTTCCTTAACATTTTGTGGAAGATGTGGCTTGGAACTTTTGCATCTGTCTAATATGTAAATTCAGAAATGGAATTTAAACATACCCCTCTGTTCTACCTTTACTACATGAATGATTATGAAGTGTTTCAATGAAAAACAAAATTTGCTTTTGCATGTGTTGAGAATGGCATCATGATTTATTTATTTTTCTGAAGTTTGAAGAATTGCTATTGCATGGCAGTGACTGGTCAATTTCATGAAAAGAAATCTTTGGAAAGTTTGTATATTTTAGAGAATATTAAATCATTCTTTAAATCTGATACTATTAATAATTAACAATTATTTAGTTTTGAAATCATTTGTGTTCATGAAAATAGATTAAGAGTTCTTTGTAAACAAAGAACTAACAAATTTTTCTTCAAGCTGATGAATACATTGTCTTTAAAATACATTATGAAAGTAATTTTATCTGAATGGCTTTTAACTAAATATTAATGAAAACTATAAATATTGATGCTTTTGCAAAACATTTGAGTAGAATTTATTTTTTCCTGAAAAGCAAATTATATTTAAAAAAAAAAAAAATAAATATTAAAAGTATTTCTTAACAGATATGCACTACAGTTCAAAAGTTTGAGGAAACCCCTGGCAATTTTTTTAAATTGGCCCCAAAAGTAGTTGTTTTTTTACTTTTAATAAGAGAGGATTATTATACATGGTTAAAAAAAAAAAGTGAGACATAATTCATTATCAGAAATTTTATTATGACAAAAAAGAAAAGCATTTTGTGATTAAATTTTGCTCTTGTCAAAATATCCTCCTTAACCTTGATTACTGTAGGACAAATTTTTGGCATTCATTGCAAAAGTTTCTCAAAGTATAAGTTTGATAATTGATTCCATTCTTTTTTCAATCACTCTAAGACTTCCGCTTTTTCATTTTTTTTTTTTTTTTTTTTTCCTCCACTCTTCTGTCAAGATTATCCCATGCTAATTCTGGGGGTGTCTTGAAACTTTTGAACTGTAGTGTAAAACAAAGAGTGAGAAAGAGCAAGGATAAGAAAAATATTACTGTGAAATGGTGAATCAAGATATGACAAAATAACTAATTGGTTATTGTTCCTGACTCTTCAGAGCTCAATTAAGGACAAAACGTGTGTACTGGGTTGTATACTACCAGAGAATCAGTAAGATAACTCTGAGACAGATTACCTTAATATCCAGCAACCATTACTTCTGCTTACAGAGGGAAGGGGCTTCAAATGCTTTCAAATGGTAATTTGAATGTGCTCTGTTGGAGAGAAAAAAAAAAAAAAAAATAAAAAAGAAACATCCCTGCAAAAAATTGAGGCACAATCTGATTATTTATTAGAACAGAACACCTCATAAATAATCTGATATTGCTATTTCTCTGGTAGCATTTTTTCTACTTCCTTCTGTTTGTGAGTTGTTGCACATATATATGTTTTGTCCTTGATTGAGCTCTGACGAGCAAGGAGCAATAACTGGTTACCTTTTTTGTTGTTCTTTTTTAGTTAGATTTTTTAACTCATTCTTTTATAGTTAGTAATATTTTCTATATTCTTGCTTTTCCACCGCCACCTTTGTTTTAATATATTTATATATATTATGTGAGTATATAATTTCAAAGTGTTTTTTTTAAGCCATAACAGAATGTACCCTCACTCCACAAATAATTAAAATATATGAATTTTTTTTTTATTGTTTCTTGTATGTAGAACATATAAAGTGCTGCTTGTTTTAAGATATTTCATAACTATGAGTTGATATAGTCATCTTGCTTGAAAATGTGATTGTTTAACATTGTTTTTATCCTTTAATTTTGGAAATAAATGACTGATGCGAATGTTAGCATTTTTAATTTTTGTTAAATGTTTTAATGTATGTGTTTATAGTTATTTAAACCTAAGAAGTGTTATTTGACCTTTTGAAAATGTTACAAAATCTGAATATATCAAAAACAAAATCTGAATATATTAAATTTATGTAATTTTTGTTTCCTAAGATATAGAAGAAAAAACATTGCAATATTGCTTAGATTGTTGTCTTTATTTTAATATTGTGCTTCCAAATAAGTTTAAATGTTATTTCTTGGTCACATGGTGTGTGTGTATATATATATATATATAATATATATATAATATATAGTGTGTGTGTGTGTCCCCCTTCAGGACGTAAACCCATGCATCTTCACAGAATTTTTTTTGTTTTTATTTGTGAATTGCCATGACTCCTTGGGAAATATAGTGGAGTTGTTTCTTGTTTCCTTCTCCAGTTTTCAAATCAGTTATCCTTCTCTTTGACTGGCTTCCACTCAAGACTTGAGATCCCAGTCTGCACTTACATAGGGAGAAGACATGGTTTCATGCCTTTCCATTTTACTGTCACCTAATTCATCACTTTAATTTACAGGACAATAGCCCAGTGGATTAAAGCATTGGTTTGTGAAATTGGTGGCATAGTAATTATGAGTTCAATCCCTGGGCTGGGCAGTGTGTACTTTACTCAGTGGAAAGAGGCTGAGCAATAACTGAGCAGTACTACATAATGACTAGGTGAGATATCCCTAGACATGGACAGTGAAACTAGAACAACCTACCCACTGTAGATTAAATAAACAGTTCAGTTTGAAATTCTCTGTTGGTTATTTGGATTGATAATCTCGAGATTATAACAACAAAGATGAGGATAATAGTCAATATGTGAATAATGAATCTGACAAATTAGGTTAGAATTTGAACTTGGTTTGCTAATTCCACATTTTGAACTGGTAACTGTTGTGTCCTCTGTACATATGTACAAGTGTAAATTTATAATATAGTTGTTTGTGTGTGAGAGAGAAGGAGTAAAAAAACAGATGGGCCCTTTTGGAAAGACACATGCATTCCTTTGCAAGATGCAGGAGAAGGACATGTGACATGTATGCATTCATGACATGAGTGGAAGGTGAAATAAGAGAAAAAGAAAGAAAAAGCATTTATTAAGTATGCATGGAGAAGAAAGAATGATCACAACACCATGTAGACCACTTTACCTCTCTTGAGATATATATATATATATCTGCCTATACAAACCAAACAAGTTTATATCTGTCACCGAGAAGTCAGGAATCTGCTGTTAGTAAACCCACTCTGAGATTTTTTTTGCCTATTGACAGTTAACATCCTTTGCAAGCCATGTCGAAGAAGAGAAATCCCAAATCCCGGTGAGTTTTCTTTTACAGACTTTGGACTTAGATTTTTAGGTGTCCAACTCTCTCAGTTCTGCTTCAACTGCCTGTTAGCTAGTCTGCTGGGTTTAAAAAAAAAAAAAAAAAGAGAGACAGGAAGAAAGTTACATATATTTTTTTAAATTTTAGTGTCCAAAAAAAAAAAATTACTTACCTTAATTTTCAGTAATTTCTCCAATTTTTTCTTTTACTTCCTGGCTCATGAAAGGTGTCTTCTTTTATTTTTATTTTTTATTTTTTTTTTTTTGTTGTTGCAAAAGTATTATCACCAACTAAAAGTTGGTGCTTTGGTACCACCAAAATAATACTGCTTCTTTCCCCTGTCACCCATTTTGCCTGTTCCTCACGCCATCTCGTTTACCACAGCAATTTATATGTTCATTCAATGTAATATCCTTTTTTTTTTTTTTTTTTTTTTTTCTTTTAATACACTCTGAATATTTTGCAGCCTGACTTGAGCCAGGAAATAGAATTTTTTTTTTTTTATTTATTATATAATATTTTTTCTGAAAAACCTAATTGTCACTTCTTGCATTTGTGGTAAGGAGTGTTGGGTGGGTGAAGGGTATGACTGATAAAGAGATAGGTTAGTAAGTAATATGAGATCTTTGTGATGCTTTCTTTCTTGTCTTATCACCATGCTCTTTCTCCTGCCAAACCTTTTCACCACCCCCTCGTTTTCCTCTGATTAGTGTTACTCTTATTATATTATTAGGGTTTCTGAAGGGTTGTCATCATCATATGCAACTAGAGAAGCTGTAATTTTATATAAGTTTGTGTGTGAAATGGTAGATAGTTAAAGAAAGGCTGGGTGAAGTTTTATTGGGTTTACTTGAATATCTGCATATTTGCTTTCATTTTAATAAGCTCTTAGAAATGCACTAAGTGCTGAAGATTTTTTTTTTTTTTAAATCATCTACATATGATAATAAACTACAAAGCTTCTGATGGGAGATTTGAGGTTTTGAGTAGTGTGGAACCACCTCTTAATTGCTGTTGTTCCCAGGTCCACCCTGACCCAGGGAGATGGCACCTGTTAGATTCCTAGCTATGGGCAAATAGTTAACCCACCAAACAAATACAGTATGTTTTTATCATAAAAATATCAGTAATAATTTTTTCTTTTTTTATTTAAAAAAAATTACCAACACTATCTATTTATATAAAAGATATTAACAATACATCAATCAACATGGAAGAACTCTTTCATGACATTAATCCATATAATATTTTACAATTTCTTAAAGAAATCACTGTATTCCAAAATATAACTTCAACTGCCTCTTGTAATTATGTCCACACACATATATATATATATATATATATATATATATGCATAATGCTTTCAATTGTGAAAGCAGAATAACATATCATATTTTTATTACTTCAAACTCCCAAGAAAATTTAAATCTTAGCATTAAATGACCAATAAGGAGTTGATATGCTGTTAAATAAACAAATCTAAATCCTCTACGTAATAAATTTAAATAGTGATTATTTTTGTAAAATATTCTTAAAAATGCTTATTTAGTAAAAGAATAAGCAAGATAGAATATTTAGTGTACCATAAGATGAAGAATAAGAGAATAGTAAATTCTCTTATCAGGTGGTTAACTGAAATGACAAAATGGAACAAAATCCTATGCAACATGTTGTTTACTTCGAAAACACTTCTTTAAGACTAAATAATTGATAGAATCATATATATGTCCTCTCTCTCTATATACACACACACACACACACACACACACATATAATTAAATGTTAATTTTAGTGGATACCTATATTTGAGTAGATGCTCTGAGTCTGAAGACATCCACTTGAAGGATGGAATATGCCATAGAATTTTGTTCCATTTTTGTCATTTCAATTACTCACCAAGATGAAGAATTCAAACAGTAGTCCATAATTAAGAGCTAAGACTAACTGAATCATATAATGAATTTCTTTTAAAGACTAAGCAGTTATTAAAAATATCTTTGACTAAAATGTATAAAATTTCACTTAAATTAAACAAGAATCTAATATTCAAACTTATTTTCAAATCACTATTTCAATTCTGAACAGTCCAATTACTTTAATAAGAGTTGGTTGACTAGTTGGCCTCCTCCCTCTACAGGTACCTAATTTGGTATAACTACTTGTACACTATTTCTTTTTCTTGTCCAGTGCTTCCAATAACGCTACAGTGCTTGTATATGCTCTCGAAGGTTTCCTCCAGGAGGTTGAAAACTTCTTAGCTATTAACAACTTAATTGGCCTTGATATTTGCAATTAAAATTCTTAAGGTCTTTTTTTATGTCCAGAAAAATAAAACTTAGTATATATGCTGCTTTTCCTCTATAGCTACTTTTTTTTTTCAGTCTAACTTGTCTGTGTTAGTTAACTTGAAATTTAGATCCTTGCATTTGGCAATAGTTTCTGTGGAGGTGGTGGTGAACTAATACAGATGTTTTGTTGAAGTTCACAGTGATGATTTTTTTTTTTTTTTTTTTTTTTTTGTAAGTAATGGTTGTTTTGGTTGCTCTGTGTGTGTATTTTAAAAAAATATGCATAGGTGCTTTTAGCTGACTTTGGTTATTTTCAAGAATAACTGAAATAGCTCAAACATTAGCATATTATTTTTACACATGCTATAAAACATTACATGAAAATAAAAAAAGAATCACTAAAATGATAACAAGATCCTGTCTGATCTATAATACAATATGCTTAAAATAAAGATTGCAGCCAAATTATAGTGTGTGCATATATATATATATATATATATATATATATAGTTTCATTTAATAATATAGACATATGTCTATTTTTATAATAATCCTTTCTAGTTCTCTAATTAGCGACTTGATATTCAAACTGCTGATCCTGACAGTTGCAGTTTCTGGGCAAGAGTGCATAATATAAAATCCATTCAGCATAGGTTTAGTATGGCTCTATGGGTGTTGAACAAAAGCAAATATGCCTGAGCAGGTTTCTGCAACAGGGACTGGCTAGCCACCCTAGTAGAGGGGTGTGCTCAGAAAATGAGTAGCCAGCTATATGAATAAAATAGACAATCAGAAAATAGTATTTAGTCCTTGCTGACATGTTTCGTCATTTGACTATCAAGGCAAGTGATGATAAACAAAAGCGATTTGTTTTGTTTATTCTGAGAAAAATTATATATATATATATATATATGTGTGTATATATATATATATATATATATATATATATATATATATATATATATATATAAAGTTTGTCACTTGGCTGATTGATGTTATCTTCAGCATCTTGACTTCAGAGTTTTGTAGAGTATCAGCAAGGATGGATCTTTTTATTAATCAGACAGATTTTTATCATTTTAAAGTTTATTTTTAGTGGATACTTGTATTTGAGTAGATGCTTTGCTTATTTATTAATAATTGGATTAGTAATCTGATTTAACAATAGCTCCCACTGCCCAGCGAAACACAGGTTATTATTCTGCCAGAGTGTAATTTTTTTTTTTTTTTTATGTGATTTTTCTAACATTTGTGCCTGTAGATGGCAATAAATAAGTAAATAGTGTTTAATAAATAAACAGAGCAACTACTCAAATACAAATATTCACTAAAAGAATATATAAAGTGAGATATATATATATATATATGAAAAATATATGGGAAAGAACTCGTTAGGTAAATAATCCAAAGTTCTTTAGTATTTTTGTTATTATTTTTAAAAAATAGTGCTCGATACAAAAGTAGAGCATAAATATAATTATTTATTTAAATATCATATTTTTATATATATATATATATATATATAGAGAGAGAGAGAGAGAGGAATATTTGGTGTACATGCAGTTGGAGAAGGCCAAATAACATATTAACCAAAATGTTAATTAAAAAACAACAAACATGAGAACAGTAGCCAGAATACTTTTCTGGGATGTGATTGTTGTTTGGAAGAAACAGTTGTTTAATAAAACCATTTCTTCCAAAACTGAATGGATGTTCTTTATCTTATTAAAGAATTGGTTCCTTCTTATCAAAGAATCTTAGTATTCCAGCACCATTACTTGAAATGAATAGATTACAAAGATGTGTTATGAAATAATATGGAACCAATCTCCAAGAGGGAAATTGAAAAGGCAAACCTTGAATGAACTCCGCATAAAATATTAAACATGTTAAAAGATTAATTTTGTGATGTCAGGAAGCTTGACTTATTAACCTTGACTCAAAGCAGGAAATGAGCAAATTAACGAAATTCAATTCATAAAAGGTGACAGGAAATGGGCACATTATGAAGCCCCAAACAAAACACTAGGAAACTAAAAATAGATTTTTATAATGAAACGACCAGCAATACATTAAAAAAAAGAATGACCAACATTAATTTTTTATAGTAAAATTGAAGACAGAATACATTGTCAACAAAAAAACAATTTGCTATGATTAATCTTATTTCTTAAATAATTATTAAAATTTAATCATGTTATTCTCTTGAATTATAAAGTTTGAAATTTGATATTTAGATTTCAGCATTAAATAACCCATAGAGGTGTTGATATGCCTCTAAACAAAAACAACCAAACCAGACCATAAAAGGTGGCAGGATGTCTTTTAGGAGTAATTTATAAATAAGGTTCTTTGGACTTCACAATTTTCTGTCAAGTTAAAAAGAAAACTAACAAAACAGTTGAATTTTCTTTTTATGCAAAACATTAAAAAAAAAAAAAAAATCTTTTTGTCATACTTAATCCTATTTTAACAACTAGACAAATTCAGTGACATAGTTGAAGTGAGGTAGGGAAAAAAAACAAAAAAAACAATCTTTTATTTTCCAGAAAGTGAAACAACGTATATATCTACCACGTTATTTAACCCTTTTGTGGGGAAATAGATGGTGTCATGCCTTCACAAAGGCATTAGTACACAATTAAATACAGCTAGTATTTGAATTTTGCTTACTGATTTAATGCCAATATGCATTAAGCTACCCAC